GTAGAAAAAGAAATTAAATTCACAAACCAATAATTCATCACAAAAGAAAATTCTCAAAATTATATTCTTAAGTAGAAATTTATTTTTCACACAAAAATTATATGATTTTGTTCAATTTTTGAGGCTCTTTCTCATGCACTAGTTCGTATTGAGATTGATTTCATTACTTATTTTTCAATACCATTATTCACTGTCACTAAAGAAACCAAAGTTTATAACTAATTTTAAAATTACGGTTCCACACTAAAATGTAATATGTCACATGTGTCGTACTTTGCGACACATTCTGAAAATATGATTCAAATCTAGTATACAGCACATTTTTTATTTTTTTTTCTATGAAAGCAAATCATGGAAATTTTTTTTCAATTTAATTTGATTTAATTATGTCTACTCTGAAAATTCAAGCCGATTAGATTGTGAGTTCTGTCTGTCTCGAGTGATCGAATCTCGATCAGATCGATTCATGATAGTCTTCTCTTGATTATCGATCGAGATCGACATGTTCTCGACTAATAACCCATTGAGAAATAATCTAGAAAAAAAAGACACAAAAATACACAAGTTTCACATGTTCAACTGAGTTGTCTATATGTAACTATGTGTGAAAAACAGAACAATGAATGATTAGTCAGCGGACAGAACACGACAAATTCATAATGCGACACGTTTTCGCGAGAGAAACTGCAACACATTTTATTTTAGGTTGTCGATGGTAGAGTAAAAAAATTTCTTTTTTCAAATTGTAGAACACAAAATTCTGCACCAATTGATGTATGTTTCATTTTTTTTTAAACAGAGTCGCTAGGTAAGAAAGTACAAAATACTAAAAGTGTCTTAAAACAATGTCCACCACTTTACATATGCCATACCTTTAAATTATCGGTACTGCTACTGTTGTTTTAAAGTTTGTGTCATTTTCTTTTTTAGATATTAATAAAATAGCTAATGCGACGCATCATTAAATTACCACCATTAAAAATCACGCCTGGTAAGTAGTATTGACATAAACCAGACTATAGTGATCTTTAAAGAATTCGGTGAAGAAACTCTCACATTTGAGATTATTTACTACATTTCGTCATTCTTTGCTTTGAGAAATAACACAAATTTTATATTAAGATACAGATAATGTGAAATTTGATCAGCAACCTTCAACATCGCACAGAGAAGGATCGCCGAGACCTAGGATTCTGCCACCAACTTCTGTTATCAATGATAAACGTGATGTTGACCATATCAAAAGTTGTCCATCAACAGGTGAGTGATTAATACTAAAAAAGGACATGAAAATGTACTGCCTTTATAGAAATAGCACTATCTGGGATACACTATTTTTTCGTTTTACAAATTCTTCAGTTTCCTTACAGAACTTAATATTGTACCTATGTATTTGAAAAATAACTGTGTTCTACTCGTTTTCGAATATACAAATGAACATTGAGCATTTTTAGAAGACAAGAACACATGAGGGAATGTTAATCGGTACATTAGAAATAGTGCGACCATTTATACTTTATCAATATACGTTTGATTTTTCTTTCAGTTAGGTTTCCTCATTTTTTTTCAGAAGTCTTTGATATAGCCGTTTGAGGCAATTCAAATCTCATTTTAAAAACGTCATTTTGTTTTTCTTTGTTCTCCAGCATTTTACATGGTTAGAAAGTGATTTTTGAACCCAAGGTAGTTCAAAGTGTTTTCTTTCGAATACTCACAACATTTTTAGAAAAACTTGTACCAGAAAAAGATTATAGCGAAAATGGCAAAAGTACGATTCTCAAGGGTAATGGTGTGACGACTAGGCAAGTAACTGAAGATTAGAATGTCATGCGTTAGGGACTGGGTGAGAGTTGAGTCGGTTAGCTAGTTAAAGAGAAGATTGCTAGGATCATCTACCCGTAGCACATTCGCTGAACTCCCATATCTTCATCACCCCCATTTACTATATAGCAATGGTGAAAGTGAAGATGGCTGCGAGATCAAAATACGAATCTTCTCATACTTCACCTCTATGAGAATACAGATTATACAGCCATTGAATAAACATACCCGTGATTATGATAATTACATGACTTTGTGAGTGAAAAGAAAAACCTTGAAATTTGAATGGTTATCAACTATTCTCGAGTATGAGGGTGGCTGAAGGTTGGTCACAGTGTGTAGGTAATGCAAGCGAAGTTCCTTACTCTTACTCTCAAACACACATCAACGCCCATGCTCATCCTCGCACTCATCTACTCCAGCCCTCAGGCATTAACAATCGTGGAGATGAGCAATAATCAATTATCAGATATTGAATTTCATCTCATTTTGAAGCTCAAACACCAAACGCTTCCCAGATCAAGCTGTGTTATCGGCTTGCAATAACTCTTGAAAGACCGAAGGACGGGGGAGGAGAGGGGAGGGGTCGTATTGAAAAAACACAGAAAATTTGTCTGTATCTATGATCTACTAAAAAAAATGAATGGAGAGATGGAGAAATAACATTCTAGATATTTTTTCCTGAGTGATCCGAATTATTCCAGCTAGAATGGCTTACTAATTCGATTAACTTTAAGTGAGATAATTCGAATCACATTGATGGTGCTTTTGCCATTTTGGTTATAATCTGTTTTCTGGTGCAAGGTTTTGCAAAAAGGCTGTGAGTATTCGAAAGAAAACGCTTTAAACTGCCTTTGCTTCAAAAATTCTTTTTTAATCGCGTAAAATGATGGAGAATGAAGAAAATCAAAATGAAATTTTGAAAGTGAGATCCGAATTACCTCAGACGACTGTACCATTTTAACGAAACTAGATATTTGAGTTATTCTTCTAAGTAGTTCTTATTGTTGTTCAACAAGCGACTTAAGCGACGAAGATACGATGAATAGCTTCCTCATACAGTTTCTAGTCGAAATTACAATTCGCCGATCGAGATGCCTTCTAACTCATCTCATTGTACTTAATATCACACAGGAGAGTAAAGATCAGATTGAGTAATATAACAGATTCAAATCAGGATTGTTGCAATCAATAGCTCTTATTGTTAATGAAGGATAGATTATCTGGTCAGGTATTGCTGAGGAAACGCACGAATGTCATGTCTTCTGTGTCATCATAGTTGAAGATTCAATCTTTGCTAAAGTCACTGTCGGAAAGGTCTTCTCTATTCATGAGATATGACACTATCAACTATACTAAAACGTTATTTTTACAAAAACCATCCAATTATATTTCTTTTTCGCTGACCGATTGTTATTCGGATGGTTCATCGCACGTACTTGACCACCCCATAGAATATACAGACTGTTTCAGAAAGTATTAGCCAGTTGATAAATTCAGTTTTTTTCCGTTAAAAACATCTGTATTTCTCTCAAATCTTTACTTTTAATTTTTCGCACTTGAATTCCTTTTTATTTTGTACAAACTTCCAATCAGAAGATGTTCAGTCCAACAAACGACAAAGTAGCGCGTTCTAATGCTATCTGTCAGATTTGAAACAGTGAATTTCAACTTTACGCTCATTGTTAAAACACTAGTACTACCTGTTGACAATAAACACTGTGCATCTGACCATCTCGATGATGTCTCGTCTTCACCCGGTATTGAAAATGACACATCAATATTCGACTTCGTTCTGGTCTACACAGAAGAATCGCCTAGCAAACTACAACAAGATGGTAAACAGTGGTCTGCAATTCAACGTTTAGTGCAACGTTTTGGTGGTCATGTTCTTCTGACCCCATCGGTGAAACAAACAATACGAAAGAAATTCGAAGAAGATCTCAAAAATAAATATCAATTGGATATTCGTAGACATGTAGTGAAAAAAACAATCAATAAATATCCGATATCTAACTTATTTTGTCGAAAACAAATATTGAGAAAAACCTGTTATATCATAATCCGTGTTCCATTTCATGTTCTTTTGTTTTGGGCAGAAACTCTACGAATGAAATTGCCGATTGAAGTAAGAACAAAAAACAACTAAACACATTGTTCGAAATCTCATTGTTTAATTGGTTACTTTTTCTCTACTCTTTATTCAGAAGATAGAAGATACAAAAGAAGATGAAAAAACAGATATAGGTGACGATACAGAAGAAGACGATTCACCTACTCAAACAACAGTAATTGAATGATATACATTACAAATGATCATTGAAAATCATTTTAGGATACATCTAAACAAGAGAAATTCTGTAATTGGAACCGTTTTGTTCACTGGATTCAATGCGTATTCGGTTATCAACGCTCGTCTACAATAGACCAACCTTATCGTACGGCTGTCTATTCATTGTCAAAGATTGATCAATTTGTAAAATGTTTCGATAAACGAAATCGATCTGAAACAGATCTGAACCGTTCAAGCAGTGAAAACGTGAGAATATTGCATTTTTTTCCGTCGCTAACACATCTTTCAGGAATCATATGGATAACATCTCGAAGAAATTGTTCAAATCGAATTTTTTTTATACAAATTTCAGTTCAGACAACTGATAAAGCCATGACTTGAATCACACTAAATGCGCAAGGTAATTCTATGGAAGAGTGACCATGTGCTATCTCTATAGATTTGCATAGATTTTGAATTTATAGATACATGCATAATGTTGATCCTTCGTCGGAAGAAAGACATTGACTTGATTGTTGTAAAAAAAATCATTAGAAATAGGACTTGAAATGAACATAGGATCGTTCTATTCTATGAAAAATAGCTTGATTCCAAGAACAAAAAAGAAAGTTGAATAGTATTTACAAATGGTATCACATATTACTGGTCAAACATAGGTAGAAGACAGAAACGGAGGCGACCGTCCCGTGCGTGCGGTTCCTCCGCACTCTAATGGAAAGTATGACTCATATATGGGCGGCCGCTCGCGTGACATTTTTTTAGGCCCAGTGCACTTTTCTGGTAGAAGACACGCCCTATTGACTTTTCATGTCAAATGAATGGATTATTTTTTGTAATGCAGCGATTTCTATTCGTTGATAGTAATACATACGTATTTCTCGTAGACTATCTGTTGCCTACTTTCCACTGAATATCATTTCAAATTAAATATCTTTTTTAAAATAATATTCTTATGTGTAAGGAACTGCCAATTCTTTTATTCTGTTGAAAAACAGCTTTATTCTCTGTTTCTTTAGTTATGGGATATTGCTGAGAAGAGCTATTTTACAACCAGCGAACGACATTGGCTCACTTATGAACTATTGTCACGGATCAAGGGAAAGATTATTACGAGTAAAAATGAAATTTTTAATTGAAATCTCATAATAAAAAGGATAAATAGATTCATGTGTGTCATCTGAACAAAATTTATCGAACACGTATAAATATTTCGGGATTCGTCAATTAATATCTCATGGTATATTTGATTCATGTTTTCCTTTACACGAAGTAAAATGCCGACTGATTTGATTGAAAACAATATATTGTTATTTTCAATTATTATCTTTTTTTTTAATAAGAAACTAGATTATAGTATATCCAATGATCGAGTTGTGAGTTAGAAAAATAATTATTGTTTGATATTCTATTTCAATATATGTGTACAGAAATTGAGGACAACATGGGCAACTATATGCAAATGTTTGAAACTTCAACCAATTGATTTGATCCGTTCCTATATGGGTGAAAAAGTTGCATTTTATTTTGCTGCTATGGGTTCTTACACAATTGCACTCATACTACCTTCAATTGTTGGGGTGATTGTCTTTATCTATGGTGTTGCTAGTGTCACTTCGGACAGGCCAACGTAAGCTTTCTTCTTTTGTTTTATGCGTGACTGTAACTCATCTCATACTGATTTAATTTGGAGAACTATTTTTTCACAGTTTCAGCTTAAACAATTTCTATAAAGGTGTTTTTCTGTATTAGACAGATTATAGTTTTGAATAATAATCATATATCCTATTTTCAATTGTTTATACAAACATTGAAAATAGTCTTTAATCCTTTCAAAAGGCAATGCAGACAATACTTTTCCTATTCGTAATCCGTTCTAACTATCAGAATTAATTATGTTTCATTTTGTATCATCTAAAACTGGATCATTTCTTTTGTAACATGTGTGAATTTTTCGAGAGAGAAAACTCATGAAATTTGCAGTACTTGTTTTTCAGAAAAACTCAATTAGCAGTCTCCAAAAGATTCATTTGCATATTGAGATTTCATAGAGTTACTTATATCTCAAAATACAGAATTTTCTGTAATTTCTTCTGAACCTCATGAGTTTAATAAAGTAGTTGACGCCTTTGGATATTGTTAGAAAATGATCTATAAGTGAAAATTCTTTTTTATTTCGTAAGAAAAAAATTTTGAAATATAATAATGAGTTTAATATTATTGACTAATTTTCTCTTTCGTACAACAAATTACAGAGTAGAGAATCTTGTAGGATATTCTGTTGTATTTGCTGGGCTCTCATTTTTCTTGTTGTAGGAGAACAACGAAAGACATACAACGTAAGGAAGAAGGAATAGCAACTTCTGAAATAATTTTAGAAGTCAACAAACAGACAATAAGAGAAATTTTCTTCTTACTTTGCTTGACCTGCGATATCAGATATTCGTAAAAAAGAAGTACACTGACATATAGTATGAATGTTTCAGTGGAATCTTTTTTGTATATTTATTGTAATTCAATTGGAGAAAGAATATATGATAGTCAAAAAGCGTACTGAGAAATATGAGAAGATGTCATGTAAGGATAGAATAGAGTTTTATTTCTCTATTTATTTTTGTGTTATAATTTTATTTAATATAATTGTTTCATTATTATTGCTATTTAAAATTTTCGTTTAGATCCGATATTTGTGGATCATTTGGACACAATACAGACATGTGTCCTCTTTGTGATAAAACATGTTCATTTTGGAAGCTTAGTGATAGTTGTGTCTATGCACAAGTAAATTTAAATATCGATTCGAAAATAGTTTTAAATTACTTCATTTAAGATTTCCTATGTATTTGATAATGTTGCTACTGTCATATTTGCTATATTGATGTCTATCTGGGCAAGGTAAATAAATTGAATCAATATATTTCAACGATTTTTTCACACTATCTTTATTTGAAATAGAGGCTTTGTAGAAGGATGGAAACGAGGTCAATCCGAATTACAATGTCGATGGGTATATCTTTCATAACAATAATCATTTTTTTTCTATGGATGATTTTTTGTATCAGGATTCGATCGATTTTCATGAATGTAATGAACCAATACGACCTGATTTTGAAAAACAAGTTCGATCAAAACGAAAGAATATAAAAACTGGAGTTAGTCTATTTGTATGAGATAGCAATCATTGTTTTAAAATCTTTATTTTAAAGAGAAAAGAATCACATGTCAGTATTGAACAGAAACTTCCAAAAATTCTGTTGTCAATTAGTGTCGTTTTATTGATGGTAAATTGAACAATTATTTAATAAATAACTAATATAAATACAATTATCTAGATAATTATCGTCTGTCTGACAATATTCTCTATCATTGTCTATCGTATTCAAATAACATATGTCTTAAAAAATGTATCAGTTAGTTCATATTCATCGATTATAATCACTGTAACAAGTGCCATTATGAATCTAATTTGTTCTCTTATATTATCACCATTGTATTATTATATTGCACAAAAAATAACCGATTATGGTAAGAAGCAAATGTTTAGTTCTTGTTTTCTATCTCTTATGTCTTCACGAAAAAAAAAATATAGAATTACACAAATACCAATCAGAATACGAAGCAGCATTTTCACTCAAGGTTTATATATTTGAATTTGTCAATTTTTATTCATCATTATTTTATGTTGCCTTTTTCAAAGGACGGTGAGTAAGATTCTTGAGAAATAGTCAAAAATAATAATAATAATTATAATAAATTTTTTTTTTTTTAAGATCAAGTAGTTACCCATCTACGTACGGTGCACAAAGAACAAATGATTTCACTGAACAGGTTTATTTATTCGTTCACTAGAGTGACTAATTTTAAATTGATTACAAAAACTAAATGATATATAAAATTCTAAACTTCATGAGTTATCCATTGCAAAAAAGAATATTTCTTTCCATCCCTTCATTTCCAATATATCGGGCTTAAAAAGTCGATAGTTTTATAAAAATACAAAACAATATAACCGCTACTTAATCCTTTAAGAAATTGATAATATTTAGTGTGATCCTGCTGGTTGCATGGTTGAACTGTCTATTCAACTACTCATCAGTAAGTAGAATATGTATGTATATTGGAAATACCATGATTTTACTCTGCCAGTTATGGTTGGCAAACAAATCGTCAACACTGTGATCGAATATGGTTTACCATTCCTAAGCAGTAGAAAACTATGTAAAAATACCGATGAAAACAAGAAACAATGGGAAATAGACAATCAATTGGATGTATTTGACTGGCAAATGCTCTTACCAGAATATCTCGAAATGAGTAAAAGAAAACAAAATAAAATCTTGTTATCATTGACATGTCATTCTCTTTAATTCATAGCTATTCAATTTGGTTTTATCACACTATTTGTTGCTGCTTTTCCGTTAGTAGATTATATGTTCTCTGTCTAATATTTTTTTTTCTCGTTAAACAGATTAGCACCATTGTTTGCATTATTAAATAATATATTAGAAATTCGGTTTGACGCCTGGAAGTTATTAACAAGATATCGTCGGCCTGTTCTACATAAAGCAGCAAACATTGGCATTTGGACTGCTATTCTTTCCAGCATTTCTTATTTTGCTGTTTTGACTAATGTCAGTATCAATTTGAATTGACCATTTAAGTTATTATTAGTTTTCAGGGAGCAGTCATTGCATGGACATCCGAATTTATACCAAAATTAGCCTACCAGATCATAGAAGGAAAAGGAACAAGTCTTGATGGTTATGTTAATTGGACACTTTCTTTATTTCCGATCAGTGATTACAATAGAACAGGTACTATGAATCCAAATATTCCATCAAATTTGACTTACTGTCGGTAGGAAAAATATTCGATTTATGTTCAATTATTATATTGATAAAAGATTTTATTTTTGTTTTAGTTATCGTGATTTTCGAGAATCAATCGGTCCTAATTATAATTATACATCACTTTATTGGCATATTATTGCTGCTCGTCTAGCTTTTATGATCATTTTTGAAAATGTTATCTATCTAATTGTTTATTTAGTTGAATTGATGGTTCCTGATGTATCCAGTCATGTTCAAGAAGCTATCGATCGACAACGTTACAGTGAACAATCTCATCGAGATTCTCCTCCCAAGACTCCATCTGCAGTGAAAGAAGCGATTCAAAAACTGAAAACAAAAAGAGAAACAGCAGAAAAATAACATCAATCACTTGAATTATATGAAAAACACATTTATTTCATTGTTAATTAAATAAATATCCTATATCGAAGTCAACGAAATAGTTACGCATGCAACTCGTGTCAGATGTGCGAATGTGGATGTGAGTGTCGGTGTGAGTGCGGATCTTTTGTGTACCCTGACTGAAACTCTAATCCACGCACCGACAACCAAACAATCATACTCTCACCGTAGGTTTCATGAGGAAAATTGAGAATTACATGCAGAATTCCAACTATTTAGTCCAGAATTCAAAGAAAATGATTTTCTTGATAAAAAAAAAGAAGAGATGAAAAGCAATGCGTACTTTTGTGACTGGTAATATGATAAATCGAACAAGATAAAATATTTGATTTGATGATATAGCTGAAAAAAAATTGAGATAGTTTTACAAGAATGAATCGTCAGTAATCTTGAGCAATGGCAAATGGTGTCCAATATTAATACACTTTTTGGATTAAACTCAATTTAATAACATTTTTATATTCAACTTTTTATGTCAAATCAGAAAAAAAACCTATTTTTAGAAGCTTTCAACTAGAGTGAAGCAAAGGATTTTGTATAATTTGAAAAAGATGCTTTTTTTGAGAAAAACATTAGGTACGAAGTTTGAAATTTTTACGACTTGAAAGAAGTGTTTATAAATATTGAAAACTAGTTTTCCATGACGAGCAACTCACGCTCTATCAAACCATATATAAAAATGACGAAACAAAAATTCAACTTGAAATTTGAATTACGGGTGCCTTACATATCTGTTTTTCTTTCATTTAAATCTATCAATGAACAGTAAGTGTTGTTTCCCATCTATTCACTATCTATTAAAGTGTAAATGTTTATTGTATATCTTACTATGTAAAATAATATTCTACTAAAAACAGATTCATACAAAATCTCTCATGATTATCTTAAACAAGTCTTTTTTTGGAAAGTCTCGAACAGGTCACTCAATTTTGTAAAAATAAGATTTTGGTTATGATGTTTATTACTAGCAACATGTTATTAAAAATCATAAAGAACATTTATTCCTATGTATTGAAGCTATATCAGAGGGAACATCAGCACCAATTACAAATTTTCTTATAACAATAGAAGATAGAGATCCAAAATGTGCATCATTAACAAGGATTTTAGAAACAATATTCCTTGAAGCTTGGTATCCAATAATTGTTGCAACTAATTCTAGAGAAATAAAACAAAATTAAATGAAAACTAATTATTTATATTATCAAAATATAACAACAATTTTCTTTTATATATTTAATTAAAAGCACTAAAACAAACAGATGATCCATCGTTACTCAAAACATTATTAAATAACACAAAATATTTAAACTATTTTCAAATTAAATTAATTTTAATCTATTTCATACATCTAATAAATTTTAAACTATATAAATTGGAACTTCTCGCTACGAGATAAACATTGTATTTTGTATTTACTTCTACTATTTTATGTTTCGATATATACTTTTACAATTTTTTTTACATATATAAAAATATAAAAAAATGATGAGTTATATTAAAATACGGATGCACAGAATATTCTGTCTATCTTTCACTTCACTAATGGTTTTGGAGGACTTTCTAATCGCCACCCTAATTGGAAAAGAAATCAATAACCCAGGTGACAGTCTAGATATATATATTGATAAAAATTTAATAATTGCCATTAATTTTTCGTAATCGTAATAAAACAAACCATCTTTAACTAACAATCATGAAGTTCTTAATAGAAGATAGGTGGAAAAATTTTTCTTATTCTCATATCTAGTCCATATTCTGAATCCGTCTGATTATTCGTCGGTTGTTTTTAACCATACTAGAGATATTGAAAAATTCCTTGTCTTGCATTCTTCTTCTTTTTCTTCCCATTATGGAGTAGTTTCCACGAAGTAGCAGAACAGTTTAGTACAAACAAAATAAGTTACCTGCAGTTTTTAAACTAGTATGGACAAGAATTAACATAGCATTCTGAAAAAAAACCGGCCAGTTCTGACATCCATCGATGACCCTTCAGACTAGTCCTGACCACCATTGAAGACATTTCACACTAGTGAAGTCGCTCGTCTCCAACGGGTTTCGAACTGCCTAACACATGAACGCGCGTCATTCTGCTACTCAGACTGTTTAAATTGACGTCAGTCCATCGCTAAGTCATTGTCTGCCGTCAGAACATACGTCAGATATTGAATACTGTCGGGCCGAATATTCAAATTCTTCCCTTTCGTCTTCTTCTTTTATTATTTTTCTGTTCTACGGACTAGTCTGGACGAAGTAGATGGACAAAACGAATTAGACATGGTGGGATTCAAGAACTTTCTGGGCTAGTCCAGACGTGGTTAAAGGACACTTATCCTAAAGATGACTAGTCATGTCGATCGTCTTCACTTATTTTTTGCTCACTTGGGAAATGATCAACTCAATAGATTTATTTTTTTTAATTATAAATAAAATTCTAGTAAAAAAAAAGTTTCATCCAATTAATATAATCTTCTTATAAAAGAACTAACTTAAAGTTCAAATTGTTATTTTCGTATTTGTGCATTAAAAATGATGATGATCTTTAAAGTACATGGCTTGAATTAAATCCATACGATGTTCTATCACTACCAAACAATCCTATCATTTAAGATATCATAGGATAAAAAGTACGTATACAATTGGATCAAATAGTGTCAAAGATTTTAACAAATAGAAAACCTATGTTATTTAGTTTCATCAACAAAACTATGTGATGTGGAAATCAGAAAAGTGAAGGGGACAATCAATAACTTTAATATGATTATTAATTATAGCATCATTAGAAGATAAATTTGATGTTTATCAGTTTATATAATTGAAGTATGAAACTCTGAAGAATATTAATGAAAAGAATTAGAAGAACACTTTATGCATGAAAAAAAACCATATACACAAACAGATTGTACAACAACAAAATTTATTTTATCAATGTATCACTTAAATGTACTTATTAACAATAACATAGAATACTTTAATAGTTAATTAACGTGGAGATTCATCAAAAACTAAACGTTATATTATTGAAACACATGAAGCATCAAATGAAAAAAAAATTAGATGTCAGTTAGTGAGTACCTCGTTGTTTATGTGAACAATTAAACAGTATGCTTATATTATGTGACACCATCTATTCGAAATTATATTGTAAAAAAAACAACAAGTTAAATTTTTTCAAAGATGACAAAATGTTAATAATTCATTACAAGCATGTACATGTCTTGTGAGCGATTTAACATCAGATATACAATATATTAAAAATCAATGATGTAGAATTCATTTTTGTTTAAAGTGTGAATTCTATTTGATGTTTTTAAGTGAAATCGATCTAATATATGTATTGCATTTCGAGTATGGTAAAAGAATGATTAGATAAAATGAAAAATGGAGCCCTTTTATAAATTAAATTAAGTCATTTTTTCTTTGCTAATAGAGTTTTTTTACCTCATTCATGATCAAGTAATTTACAAGTTGAACATGCTCAAATAAATGTTGATCATATCATGTGGTCAAATGTTAAACGTATTATCGTTTAGATACTAAAGACTAGAATCATTTTGTTCATCAACAATTCTTTTTTTTTCTCTCTTTTGGTTGAATATAAACTGATTGTTTGAATGGTGTAGATCAATTTTTATTCATTGTAGAATTTTTTTAAAATAATAAAATAAAAATATATTGTATATATGATGCAGGATATGATTGTGGGTGTGGTGCGAAGAGAATAAGTACGTGTACATTCACATCCACATCCCAATATTCTTTACAAGCAAGCTGTGAGAAAAAAGAAAATAAAAGTACAAAGACGAACATCAATGAAAACATTATAGAATAATGATAACAATGGAAATGATCATCTCGCCAATAATGTTTTTTCTTCGTTTTCGATGATCAATTTTCTAACGGATACAAAGAAAAAAAAATTACAATGTCATTCATTCATTATTTATCAAAGATCATTATTGACTGACACTTCATGTTTAAAACATATACATATATAAGGAATGATTTTCTTAAATGAAATCATTCTATTCAATCGAACATTTCATTGTCAACAGATTAAGTAAGTACTCTAATATACTTTTTTTTGCACAAGGTACAATATACAAATATTTTAATAATTATGGAATTTATTATAATAAAATTTATACATTCATATGCTAGCATATCATTACTTACATATATTGGAATTATTACTAAAATTTTTTACAATGACAATGAATCATAATAAATTATTATAAATATTATATTATATTAAAATAAAATTGTTTACAATGTTCCGAAGTTAAATTATCGACTTCGATGTTATCGTTTCGGTCGATCCTATTATTATCGATATTATATAATGAATTACAATAATATTTACATGACCAATACAACAAGCAAGACAGGTATGTTGCTTGAATTTTTTCTATTCAGAAGAGATAAAATAATAGAGTAGTATAAGTTAAGTTGGTTTCTTTTTGAAATTGAGAGAAGAGATATAAAATTTAGAAGTTCTAGTGACCAATAGAACTTCTGATGATAATTTTTATTTATAAGGTAGACATGCCTTCTATTCCAGATGAAATAGTTTCTCATTTTCTTTAAATACCTTACATGAATGTATTCATTGTAATATATGAAAGTAAAAAAGAGAAAATTCTTTTTCTTTGATAATAGCTATGTTATTGTCTAGTAGTAGTTAAGGTATCATATTATATCACAGCACAGCCTTGTTAGGTGGCTTCGTAACCTAATCCAGGGAGATTTCTTGTGCCTGTTATAGCGAAAGCAGTGTAGTACTCTGGAAGGCCGCTATGTTTGGACGTCCGTGTCGTCGTTATTCTTCGTCATACCTACCGTTCATTGCCCTACCAGTCCGGCATGATCCGCTCTGTCCGTACCCATTTCAGGCTTACAGGGAATCTCCCTGGTCGCCCGCGCGTGTACACCATAATAAGCCAAAAAAAGCCGGAAAAGAAGATGAATAGCAATGCGAACAAATTTATTAAGCAAGCCAGTAAAAAAAAACATTCACATTTTCTTTTTCACATAGTCAATATTATCTATCACTGTTTTAATATGAGGATGTGTTGGTGGGAGTGATTTTTGTCGAATAGCAAGTGTCTTTTCTAAAAATGAAAGTGCTTTCGAATAATCACCCGTACCGGAATACGCCATGCCGATGTTGCTGTATGAAGCAGCCAAATTAGGATGATTCGGAGGCAGAGCTTTTTCGCAGATTTTAAGTGCTTTATCGTAAAATTCAAGCGCTTTCGAGTAGTCACCCATGCTGTCATACACAGAACCGATGTTGTTGTATGGAGTAGCCGATGAGGGATGATTCGGAGGCAGAGTTTTTTCTTCTATTTTAAGTGTTTTGTCGTAAAATTCAAGTGCTTTCGAGTAGTCGCCCGTGTTTTTATACACTCCACCGATGTTGTTGTATGAAGCAGCCAAATAGGGATGATTCGGAGGCAGAGCTTTTTCGAGGATTATATGTGATTTTTCGTAAAATTCAAGTGCTTTCGAGTAGTCACCCATGTTGGCATACACTCCACCGATGTTGTTGTATGAAGTAGCCAATGAGGGATGATTCGGAGGCAGAGTTTTTTCGTCTATTTTAAGTGCTTTGTCGCAAAATTCGAGTGCTTTCGAGTAGTCACCCATGTTTTTATACACTTCGCCGATGTTGTTATATGAAGCAGCCAAATTGGGATGATTCGGAGGCAGAGTTTTTTCGTCTATTTTAAGTGCTTTGTCGTGAAATTCAAGCGCTTTCGAGTAGTCACCCATGTTGTCATACACCAAACCGATGTTGTTGTATGAAGTAGCTAATGAGGAATGATTCGGAGGCATAGCTTTTTCGAGGATTATATGTGATTTTTCGTAAAATTCAAGTGCTTTTGAGTGGTCACCCATGTTTTCATACACTCCACCGATGTTGTTGTAGATATCAGCCAATGAAGAATGATCTTCCGGAACAGTTTTTCGCTTAATTTCGAGGCATTTCTCAAAATATGAAACTGCTTCTTTGCATTGTCCTTGATACTCTTTCGTATTTCCTATCATATGATAGATATGTGCTCTATCACTGTCATTGGAAGCGTTCTTGAGTAATTCATTATAGAGTTCTTCAGCTTGATTGAAATGACCAACTCTCAGCATCAGTTTACCCATTCGATGCCATCCCGTTGATCCTTGAGTCTCCTCTCGCATGCTTTTGGTGAGGACAGCCAGTTGTGGATCATTTTCATCTGTGAGAGTTAATTGAACTTCCCAGAGGCGACTGTTGTTGACTGTCTGCTTCATTTCACCGACACGAAAGACAGTATGCATCGAAAACAGAATTTCTTTTTCGCCTTTAATAGCACTGTGTTTGTCGATAAGGGCGAATGGAGAAGTCGAAACATTATTTGAATTAATTGTCATAATAAATAGAACTCCAACGTGATCTTCATATTTTTGTAATGCGCGTTCAACAAAGTTCAAAGCTACCTGTTGTTTTTTGAGGAAAGTTCAAAAATGATATCATTCTCATGCATCTACACCGTATGAAATTGAAAAGAATATCGGAAAATTATTTCTTCTTTGTACGTTAGAGTGTAAAATGTTTTTCGAGAAAGAAAACAGACTTTCAATTGTGTTTCTGTGAGCAGTCGATTTGTTAACTCACGTCGCCTACAATGAATGTTTGACATTTTATAGAAGAATACTATGAACAGATCATCAAAGGTCCTTCATGTTATATACACTGACATGTCATCTGCATTACTTTCTATAAGAAAAGTACCCTTGAAAACCGTTAAAGAGTTTCCAATTTTTTTGCTATGTGAATCGTTTTCAGCAGTGTCCAAAAACTGAGGTTTACCAATTCTGCCGAATGTAAAAGTACGAGTCCAAAGTATGATATTTCCACTTGAATTGAGAACTAACTCGCAAGTACCTTACGTATTTTCCTCAATCTATTATTGGATTGGAACTAACATCTTCAAGACATGATGTTAGTTCTGAGTCTGTATTCCCACCAGGGCTGCCAAATCCAAATTTCAAAAATCAGGAGTTTTTTGCGAAAAATCAGGAGTTTACCAGGGAATTTTTACTGAAAAATCAGGAGAAAAATCAGAAGATGTTTATTGAAATCAGAAAATGAATTAGTGCTCTTCTCTCAAAGAAAACTGAAGTTTTCGTTCGTCCAATCACTCGTTATGTTCTTCTATTAAGTTACTGATGACAAAATTTCCTCTAAGTGATATATATTCCTAAAAAAACATAATTATGTGGAATTTATTTTACTACTCATTTCACAGTGATTTATCAAAATATACCGACAAAATAGAAAATGAAGTTTAATTAGACATTTATATGTAACTAAACAAAATGGGCACACACGAACAATAATTTATTGACTATATCGTTCATGTCACTTTTGTAACATGACCATGAACGAAGGGGTCACAAGTCCTGAGTATTCTCGAGCCTACTCTAGGTTGGACAGCTAAAGGCTTAGGTAGACTCGTGAATGGAATAAATGAAGGCTTAGATAGCGTCTATTTGTAGATGATGAAATCATACGGCTTGAGTAGACTAAAGCCTATCTTAGGTTCAGATTCCATAGACTATGGTACGCTCAAATAATTGTTTTCTACTACGTTAAATTGATAGGTTTGTGCAGTACATAAAAAATTTGAACAGACGCGAAGATTTTTTGTCGCTATCGACAACAAATAGTAACATTTATTGAAACAGACCTAGAAACTGTTTTTGAGAAAACTTTTAGTGTTGTGTGGATAAATGTCAAATTTTGGGTCAGCCATGATTTAAACTGAGGTTCTTTCGTTAAAAGTGACGAAGTACTGCATAAAAAACCTGAATCATATCAGCTAGTAGCTGCCAAAGACTTTCATCATTTTTAGCGACTAAATTTACATTACCCGATCATTAGTGTTATGAGAACAACTTTTCTCGATTATTCTTTCTGTTCTCAGAAAAAATTTGCTGTTCTCGCCCGTATATTCTCTTTCTCGGAAAAAAACTGTTATTCTTATTCTTACACTCTTATTCCCAGAAAAAAATTTATTTTCACTTCCGTAAGCAGAAGCGTAAACCAGTTCATAGATCGGTGATGTGTAAGTGTGATTTCATTTTTTTTATTTCGGTAGCGACTGAAAATACTCAAATTTTTTAGTCTGTCGGCGAAGGCGAGTGAATTTGTTAGACGATTTCTTTAAGGTTTTCTTATTTCCGAGAAATTATCGGATGAAAAAAGAGAAAACAATGGTAGAGAACACACTGATAAAAAACCTAGACAGAAACATCGTTGAAGAGTGATCTCAGGCGTCGAAAAATCTTCAAAACTGTTAGTTTTTTTGTCCCACCGACAGCGGCGACTCAGCTCGCCGATTTACACTTCTAATCGTAAAACTTCAGGAATTCATATTCCTGTTTTATTTTTAGATTTTATGATAGCCGTGACACGACTTGAAATTAAAAATATAATTATAATTGGAGCTACAGTAGATTAGTTACGTAAAAATAAAACGCTGCTACATATATGTATCCAAATATGTAGGTAAATACGAGAAAAAATGCAGGAACACCAATACTTAATGGAGTTCCTATTGCCATAAGAAATGGAGCAAGAAAACGACGAGTATAGAAAAATATTCCCGCAGAAAAAATATCTTTTCAACACAATAAAAACATTCATAATGTAATGTCGTTTTTGTGAACATTACTGCTTGGACATTGTTTTATTTTTTAGCACAGCAGATGGAAAACAATTCTTGTGAGAGTTGAAAGTCAATGAAGATAATCATCGACATGTTTTCTTAAATGCACGTTTTTTGACACATAAGATGCAAATGCTTTTCTTATCTCCATCAGCGTCATACATTACACAATACGAGTTCGAAATGAGAAATACTAACTTTGTTTCATCAAGATGGCATCAAAAAAATTGGCTTACTCCATATTTTTAATTTTCTGGTGCGAATCTTTTAAAAAATTGTTGAGCCTACTCTAGGTCGAAAACATTTCGCTACCTATGAACATGGCCATATTTTTCTAAAGACTGAATTTGTTTCAATAGGTTTGAATTATTTAAAAGATAATTATAGAACTTTGTATAACTGAGATGATTATTCATTTAGTTCCTAATTATGCGCCAATAAGATTGCACTTCAAATCGTTTCTATTAGGAGCCCACAAAAATTTCATGTGGCTGAAGGTCAATTCACAAATAGCATTCTAGGTTGATACAGAAAAAGCGAACTAAACTAGTTTTTGGCCATGAGGTACATTTTAACCGTCAAGAAGATAAGCTCACAAATAAACGCATATTATCAGGCCTAACAAGCAGAAACGACGTGTTTTCTTATTGTCTATTGCATCTATGAAATAGTGTGATAGTTCTCTTTTTCTTTGTCTTATTGATTCAAAATATCACTACAATTAAACGTGACAAAATCCTTTAAAAAAACCAGGAGAAACCAGGAGAAAATCATAAAAATCAGCTCCTGGATTCAGGAGATTTTTTCACCAGGAGAAAAGTCTAAAAAGCAGGAGTCTCCTGGCTAAATCAGGAGATTTGGCAGCCCTGATTCCCACCCACACACTCTTTGAAAGAAATTGAACTGTTGATATTTCTTAGCCGAGGAACTGAAAAACTATCTAGCACCCATCGTCATCACCCTCTGAAAGGAATTGACGTCCTCCAAAACGATCATCATTACAACAATATTCAAACTCTAATCAAGAACTATTCACGAGGATACGTAGATGACAGCAAACTATTCACAGTTCCTCCAAGAACTAAGGAACTGATTTGAAGAACTATATAATGACAATTCTCCTCGACCGTACATTGTGCAACCAGGCACACATGACCGAAAGTTGACTTTGCCAAAGTTCAAATATTGTAATAAATACATTTTTTGGTTGGTGTATCTTACCCTAAAGTAAAATCTTTAGAAATCAACTCGAACGTTTGAGAAATCTATCGCAAAAAATATCTTTAGAAATCAGTACTTAGACGAAAATCATTTTTATTATCAAGTTAGAGAAAATATTTTAAATTCAAAAACTATCAGGAACCAATAATTAGTCAAGAAGCTATTGTGAGTAAACGCCGAAGACAATTTAGTTCCAATCGGTCTCAAACTTTCACGAAGTATTCTTCTAGATAGGGCTTATTGTTGGTCATAGTACTGAGTCATAGGAGTGAACAGAAACAGTGCTAGGAGTATTTCAAAGAACTAGGATTCTGCCCGGGAATCATTAGTTTTCTCAGTACAAAGACGTTTGGCACAAAACTAAAGTGATATTCGAAATGAGGTGGTCGAGCCACATCGAAGTATATATAATGGTAAGGGCTTGTTGCAAACCTAAGTTGGACTCCTGGACTCGAAAAGGTTTTGAAAAACAACCTTTCTACATTTTATAGACGCACAAAACAATTTACGTCCGATTCTTCTCAAAGTTTTGATGATTATTTTCCCACGTCTGATCGATCGTTGATAATAGCGCCACCTCGAACCGATAAGCACAGCTGGTACAATGAATCATTAAAAAACCGAGATTGTTGCCTTGAAATTCCTATTCTTACATACAGAGTATCATTTTAGTGCAATGGCAAGGTGATATTCAAAAGCACCTCATCGAGTTGCATCTAACCATATGTAATAAAAGGGTTTTTTTTGAAAACAAGTCTTCAGTTTTATGCAACGCAGTCTTATATAATATGAGTCATGGCTTATTTTTCGAATGCTACAGAGAGTTTTAATCCGAGGAAGGTCAAGATTTCACCGAACAGTATTCCATGTGCGATCTAGTGTTGATGTTACCACTTAATAGCGCTAGTCAACGTACGCTGCGTTAGTGATTTCGAAAAAAGCCTATTTTGTGACCCGCAAATCCCCACTTTTATCCGTACATTAACATCTTAGAGCAAAACTAAGGTGATATTCGCAACCATCGCTCGAAAGTGCGCCGGATGGCATGTGGTAGAATATATGTTTCAAGGAAATTTGTTTTTCGAAAAATGTGGCAGTGACTCCGTATAGGCGAATTTCAGAGAAAATTTTTCTCCCAAAGAATGATGTATTTTCGTAAAGATGGTTTCTTGACTAATATATAATCATTTGCGAGCAATAAAATCCATTTCTGATTATGACAATTATACGTCCTGCTGCTATGTGAATGTTGCCCACTGTGGACTGTAAACAGTCAGGGAATAAACAAATTATGACAGTTCTGCTGATAGGATCGAGAGACTGAGGTAATCACCTAGAAGAAACCTACTCTCACTTCCTCGAGAAACTAGTGAACTTGCATTCAGT